GAACTGTGTGCCTGGGTTTTTGTCTTGAAGAAGGGGAGCCATACTAGTAGGTAAGTGTGTCATTGTAAAAGATGTCCAGGTGATAATCTGCATTGAAGTTTTTCATGCTTTACTTTTTTCAATTCCTCAGATCATTGCTATGATGGTCTTATGTCAATAAATTTAATGGATATTGGATTAGTTATTATAAAAATAATGCTTTCTATATGGGCCCTACCTACCCTAATTGAAGTGATATCTATTAAAAGTTTGAACATTCTTAAAAATTATCACTCTGTGTGTAGATGTTACTTAGAATATTGTTTTTTGTTCGCAATCAGAAACTATCTGTTCTTTCCTATTTGTTGTGAGAGGTATGTCTAAAGTCAGACATTCTTACAGACATGATTTGCCGTCTACCTATGGCCTATACTAAAAACCAGGTGAACACAAGGTTGCTTTTCGATGGAGGTTGATGTGTGTGCCCCGGAAGTCTGCGTGTCTTTTCTCAGCAGTAAGACGTCTCACGCTGTACCAGTTGGGGAGAGAGATGGAAGTGTCACCTGTCACCTAGCAAGAGGCTTTCTGCTTTGTGTCTTTTCATTTTAAGTCAAAATACGTGTGAAAACGTGGTGCTTGGATTTGCATTTATCTACAGAAATATTTAGATTAGCCTTCAAGTAGCTTTAGTTCCCAAGATAACTCACTGGGGCGGATAAAACAGAGATAACTTTACAAGGAAAGAAAAGGTAACCTGTATATCAGAAACCTTGATACAGAGCAAGGCCAACGTCGATCTGTTATATAGAATATCTCAGACTTAAGTGTCTATTGAGCTCCCTCATCGGCTTTAAGAATTATGGTAACTGAAATGAATGTGTGTATAAAACTTGATTTTTTACCTTTTAAAAAATCAGTATTTGAAAACACAAGATCATACTAATGAAGCAGTGATTTGTAAGGCTAAGTCTAGATGACAGAATTCCAAATGGAATTGCTGTATCAGCACCAGCATCCAATTCACTCGAAAAAGAGCAACTAAATTACATTTGTGCAGAGGGTGGAATACATGACTAGTCAGATGTCTATAAGCAGCTTTGCAACGTGTTTCTCCATCTCCATTTAAAGATAGATACAGGGGTTCTCAGAGGAACTAGCAACTAGTGAAACATATGGGTCCTGGAGTATTTGGAAGATATTAAACACTGACCTTTAATGGTTGAGAACCTAACAGATCATGTAAGATGTGATGAAGAGCCAGCACCCTGTTACCACAGGGTAATGTAATGCCTGTGCTCTGAGGTAATTATCCCAAAGTGACTCCTTATTCATTAAGGTGGGGAGCATCCACTTTCGTTCTGGCCAAGGTCATTTCTGTTGTCCAGGGAACTCTGTCTAAATTCTAAAGGAAGCTGGCTGACTGTGTGTGGCAATTCTGCAGGAAAAAGAACAGTTAGAAAATTAAGACCTTAGAAAAGCACTCTGTGTTTCTGTACAATAGCTAGTAAAGAGAAACAGATGCAGCCAGAATTCCTCCAGACTCTCCACTAGAACACTAGCGTTCATCAGTGGTTCCAGGCCTCAGTAGTTTTGTTTAAAAGTATACCTACAATTCTTTCCAAAGTGTGATAATTTATACTTTTTCTTACTTGTCATGTTTTTTTATTGAAATAAGTGACCAACCTTTTGTTCTTCTTCACCTGACAATTGAGAGTTATTTCTGAAGCCAGGAAAGGGAGGACTAAAACCATTTATGATGAGTTTTTGGTGAGGACAGTGACCTTCAAAACTTCTGTGCTTTAGGAAGATGTACTGGATAATTTCTCAGACTTGTTTGGCAAAGCTAAGTGATCTTTTAATTAGGAAATTGGTGAGGTATTACCTGTTATTGGAAATGCGTCCCTTTCCTGTTTTGTACCATGGCCTGATTTGGGCGTGGGCTTGGGGAGCAACACGAAGGCCCCTTAGCGTGAAGAAAATTTGGATTCTTCTGTTCTGTCTTGTGGACTTCATCTAGGAAAATATTTTTTTCCTGTTTAATACCTGAGCTGGCCATTGAAGAGTGATTGTTTTTACACGTATGAGAGCACCGTGTAGACATTGCTTCCAAAGGAGCAAAGTGGGGTGAATAAAACAGGTATTATTATTATTGTCCCCGCTGCTGTGGACAAGGAAATTGGGCCTTGGAGAGGTTAAGTGAGTCACTTAAGGTCACACAGCTGGTGGATGACAAGAGTGCGTCTGGGGCAGGTCTCCTCCACTGTGAATGGTCTCCATTGCTCTCATTGGTGCTACTCACAGCGTAGGAGCGCAGGCTGGGTGCTGCAGAAGTGGGGGTGGCCTTCGGTGCTCTCCGAGGGAGGCACTTGAAATGAATGGAAACGGTAGTGGGCATTGTACCAGGCTTGTGCCGGGTTTACAATTTACAGAGGTGTGTGTTTAAGTTAAACCACACAGAGCCGTGCAGTAAGATTTTGGGACTAAAGGGGTTTATAAGAACCCTGACATCATCTAATTTGTTACCTTAGTATGAAATTAACCTCTGATCTTCACTGTCAAATGGATCTCAAAATAGGTTATGTGCTCAACTCCTAGAACTGCTTTCAGAGCAAATGATATCATTAGGTTACTTTGTAAATCCCCAGATGCTGTGGAAATGTGTGATATTATGTTCAAATAATGTAATGTTTATTTTAGTCTTGCAGATTAATTGTACCTAAAAAAGACAAATTATGTAATTAAGGTCCTAGTTGCTTGGGTAAGAACTATCCACAGTGGACATACGGGAGAGTTTCTTTTATTTGTTTTTTTCTTTCATTTCTCATTATTAGCTTTGCTCTTTCCACAAACATGTGTCAGTCTCCCACATTTTGCTGGGCCCCGCACTGCATGCTGAGAAACAAACTGTGTGAACGGCACGTGTTTTTGCTCCTGGTGGGAATATAAATTGGTATAGCCTGTTTAAAAAACAATGTGGTGATATATTTTGACAGCCTGAAAAAAATTTACATTATTTTGACCCAGTCATTATATAATTACATGCTAAGGAAATAACTAGCAGTGTCCCCCAGAGCAGCTAACTAAGCGCAGGATGCGGGATGACTGGCGGGGGCGGGGGGTGGGGGGAGTGGAGGCAGAGCCTGGGCTGGGCCTCCGTCACAGTTCCCACCTTCTGGGTAGAGCTTTTCTAGAAAGGACGTTTTTTCTAGTTGTGCAGATTTATTTTCACATTTGAATATACTATGAAAAAGCTCATGGAATATTAAAATGTGAAAAAAGCTGCACAACCACATTGTGAGCTAGAAGGAGCCAGAATGTAAGGCTGAAGCCAGTTGTGAAGTACCGGGTACCTTCTGCCAAGAAGTTGGAGCTGAGTGGCTTATGTATGTTTTGAAGATTAAAAAGGACGATATGTGTTTGGTAAAAACATGTTGGTTTAAATGCCTTTTAAATTCTTTCAAGGGATTCCATTTTATGGCTTTAGAATGTAAAAATAGACTTTGACTCTAATTTCAAGAGAATGCTTGTAGTCCGCCACTGTAGTATTAAAATATTACCTTTATAGTTTGTTGCCTCTTAGTAGCATTTCTAGTAGTAAAATCTGTAGTATAAATCAGGAGGTGTGTTTTGAGACACAAGAAACATACATGAGAGAGAGAGACAGAGGCAAAGACAGAAACAGATATTTAAAACTGCAGTCAAGTTGAAGGCCAGCCCCTTACACGCGGACCCAGTGGAACTTGTGAGTTCCGCCACGTTTCCTTAGGGCCTAACGAGTGAGCGCGTGAGCCTGGGCAGCGCTGGGTCAGAGGTGCGGAGACGGCGCGCAGAGGCAGCCTGGCCCCCTGCCTCACGGGATGCAGGCGGGCACTGGCAGTCTGCGGGATCTGGGCCTGTCTCCTCTCGAATGCAATTCCAAATAGAAAAAAAAAAAAAGAAAGAAATCAATTGCATCTAATAAACTGGTTTAAGTGAATGCCAAAGAAAATTCACCTCATGAAATGGAAATTCTGAAGCAAGTCACGTAATGCTGAGAAAAAACAAATACAAGGACTTTCAAGATACATCCAAAGGGGGCAGAAGGTCCATGTGAATCAGAACTCTCCAGTCCAGTGATATTTAATTATATTTGGGAAGAGCCACATGGTCCTGGGGATAAGAAGCTTTGAGAAACCATAGAAGTATTTACTTTATATTTGTTTAATTTTTAAGGGGTGCCAAGCATTAACTTACATCAGTTTTTGAAAGTTTTACTTGGTTATTGGCCACCATGGAGCCACCAGAAAGTATTATATTAGTTATTCTAAAAAAAACACTATGGGAAACAAAACACTTTGGGCTAGCAGTCTCCTGGTTGCTAAGAATAATGGCACCAAGGGCTTTCAGTTGGAGTATTTGTGAGTCCGCTTTCATATATTAAATTTACTTTTTTTTAAAGATTTTATTTATTTATTTTTAGGGAGGGAAGGGAGGGAGAAAGAGAGAGAGAGAGAAACATCAATGTGTGGTTGCTGGGGGTCATGGCCTGCAACCCACGCATGTACCCTGACTGGGAATCGAACCTGCGACACTTTGGTTCGCAGCCCGTGCTCAATCCACTGAGCTACACCAGCCAGGACTTAAATTTACTTTTAAACTGCTTTCTGCTATTTTCTCCTCTGGCTTCTCTCTCTGGTGCATCCCTTTTTTCTTCTACCCTCCCTGACTTTGTCCAGATTTATATTATCTGGTGTCCGGATCTGTCTCAGTTCATCATAGCTGGCATTTCTGCCTCCCTCCCCTCATTTCTTCATTTTGCCCTTTAAATGGCTGCCAAAGAGCAAGCAAAAAAACCCCCAAAACAACAAGAGAAAAAAATATTCCTCAGCTATTAGATTTATGTCGCTCTATTAATTAAGAGTGTAAAGGATTGTAGAGTGAGGATTTTCTGTGTTTTTTCCCCGCCCCCCACCCCAATGAAAAGATGTTCTCAACACATGGAAGTTTTTCTCATTGTTTGTTTCTGTCTGCTTTTCTTGCAGGATCAATGTGACTCCAGACACCAATGGATGAATGAATATCCATATGAAGAGGAAAACAATAAAGGTTGGTTAATGAAACTGTGTAATTGCAGTGAAAACGCTATTTTGACCATGGCTATTGGGCAGGTACTCTCATTAGAGCACTCCTTGTCTGAACACGAGACAGAGGTCAAGACACAGACACTTCTATCTGTAAAGTGTAATTTTTGTTTTTAATCCCTTAAATATAAAGAAATTTATGAGGGTAAGAAACTGTTTTTGTGCAAGTCTGCCTGTCTTTATTTTCCAGAACTTAGTTGGTATTTTGAGAATCAACTTTTAGATGGATGTCAGACCGTGGCAAACCAGTTTATACAACTGATCATGGGGACAGAGACAAAAAAAAAAAGCCCCCAAAACCTGGCCATATTTTGTTTAATATATATCAGTTCCTACAAGCATAGTCCTAATACCAACACCATATGGTGTATGATTGCTGTGAAAAGCTGTTCTCTTTGTACCCACAGTCTCGGCTTTCCTTGGAGGAGTAGGATGGTTTTGAAAGGATTGTGACTTCGGTTTCTCATAGACATGTACCGGGATGAATTAGAGAAGTCCTGGAATAGCAGCAGTAACCAAATGCTGGGTATTACTTTGTTTTGTGGTAGTTATTTGAAATTTCCTTTCTTGCATACTGATGTTAATATACAAACCATAGGTAATACTTTTATAATATATTAAGCCACCTTCATTGTGTAAGGTTTATACACTGAACAGGTCTGGTATACATGCATGTGCCTTGCCTTGTAACTCTTCATTTAGCTGCACAAAATATAAAATTTCATATTTTCCTACCCCAGTTACCTGCTACTTTTAAAAAATTCATTTATTTATTCATTTATTTTTAGACAGAGGGAAAGGGAGGGAAAAAGAGATGGAGAGAAACATCGATGGGTTGCCTCTCCTATACAACCCAACTGAGGTCTGAACCCACAACCCAGGCTTGTGTCCTGACCAGGAATTGAACCTGTGATGTATTGTGTTGTGGGATGATGCCCAAGCTGCAGAGACACACCAGTCAGGGCTATTTCTGCTACTTTTAAACAAATGTACAGCATGCTACTTTTTTTTTCTGCCAGCCTTTACTTTCACAGTTACTTACAAATGATTTTCCAGGTCATATTTTCACTTAAATCTGCCTTCCTGCCTTCTCATTGCTCCTTCTTAGTACATGCTTCTACCTGGACAATTTTCAGACCTCTAGAGGGAATATTGATTCAAAGGTGATACAAGGGTGACTTCTGGGTATAGTAGTAATGTTCTTTTTCATGAACCCGATGTTGCCCATGTGGGTGCACTTCATGAGAATTAATTGTGCTACATACGCATTTGTACGTGGATCAGTGGTGTGCTTGTGAGCCAGCTCGAGGGGCGGGGCCGGGAAGCTGGACCTGCATGTTTGTCAGTTCCCAGGGGTAAGACTCCTTCTGTGGCTGGTTTCAAAGGTTTAACAAGTAGGTTGCAAAAGTCCTTAAAGTTTAGCAATTGGCTCTCATGAGCTATTGTTAAGCTGTACCTATCTAGCATACCTTTAGTAATTTCATTTATAGAGTCAAAACAGTTTCATAAACTGTTTAAGACAAATAGGGCACAGTTGGTAAATTTAAATTTTTCTGGCTCATCCCTGTGTAAATATGGAAACCTTCTTCACTGATGATCATGTAAAGTATATTCATCCCTTTCCTTATGTATGATGTTGATATAATATCATTTTATGTTTTTGTTCAGTTGTTACTAAATTTTTATGTTTGAATGGATTAGTGTTAGCTTTGCAAGTTTATACATTTTGACAGTGTCATTGTTCTGTAACTAATTTCATGAAAACTGAAGGTGATGGCAAAGAGAATCATTGTTTTACTACTTTCCCTGAGGATAAACTCTGAAACCATTATCATAAATGACTATAATATATTCTATGTGATTCATTCTAAATGATCGTGCCTCATAGTTTATAACTCATGAGTTCATAAGTGTTAAGAGAAGAGGCAGCAGTGGGTATTCCACTGAATATGAGTATGTATCCATTATTTCTTGCTCACAAATGTCTGCCTAAGAGCTGGTCTGTGCGTTCTTCAATGCACTTCAGCAGGGGCTGCTGTTGCCAGTGTGGTGGCTTGTGTGCGGACCTTGCTCCACCACCTGGCTTCCCCCTCTTGTTTTCCAGCCATCGTGGGACATTTACCAAGCGCTTCCCCACAGCCGGTTTAGAGCAGGCATCTGGGACGTACACGTACACGTACACATACATTCGTGCAGCTTTTCAGAGCACAGGAACTCTTCCGCTCTGTGACGACCCCAGAGGAACCATCGTGCAGAGCGATGGGTGACTTCTCCTTCTTGGGTTGGGAATCTAAGAGGGCAATAGCAAGCCTTTGTGCGAAAGCTTTCATTTCTTACAAAAAAAATTATTTCATAGTGATGGACACGTATAGTGTGGTTTCTTTAAATTTCTTTTCCATGAGGTTCCAAGTCTTCCTCCTTCACACAGGATGGAAAGATTGTAACAGCACCCAGCCTTTCTTTCCCTTTGAACTAAGTAGGTAGGCCCAGTTGCTCAGAAAGCCCCGCCGGTGGAAACGAAACGTGTTGTCAGTAAACATTTATGTTGATAGCTGCCTGGGCCATGAATACTGAATCAGAAACATCAGAAACTGTCAAGTCGTGGCTCTGCAGTTCCCTGTCTGCATGGCATTGGACCGGTGACTTCTTTTCTCGAGTGCAAAGTGGAACTAATAACACCTGTCCTGCCTGTTTCAGGAGTTGTTTCGGGGGTGAAAGAAAACACAACGTATTTGTAAAAACAATTTAAAGTTGTAAAATTCTTAAGGCGTGTGTGGTATTGAAACTTATTTTTAAGGCATAAGAGATTCACGACTCAGTTGTATGAGTTTATGTCATGAAGTCAAGCACTTTGAGAGTTGGAAGTACCCTCAGAGGTCCCTGACTCTGAGCATGTGCTTGGTGTATGGTGGCCCCCTAGAAGAGTTGGTTACTTCAGCATAATGTTGAGACCTCCTTGGAATTTCCTATTGCATGTGGCAGTTCATCCTATTTCCAGGCACATGTAATTACATTAAAAGTTCTCCCTCTTATTGAGCCAAATCAGTAGGTGGTATAATGATGCAAATTCAGGAGGTATACCACATTTATTAATATCTCTTTCTGAATCAGGTCACTTTTCTGTCAGGTCACTGCACCTTTGGGTATCTCATTTCTCTCTGGGAAATTAGAACAAAATAATACAGGGAGTTGAGAAAGATTATGCAATTATTGAAGTAGAATAGTGGCTTCATTATTTGAAAAGATGATGCATTGCTCATTTAAAAAACATTAAAGCATGCAAAGCCCTATCACCTCCCCACCTCACACCCATTTGGTGAACATTTTTTACAGCATCTCTGTGTGTGCATATGCAAGTAAATAGGGGCATTTTTACAAAAGTAAGATTACATTTATACTTTCTATTTCTAAAGAAGTGTTATTTTTTCACTTTTTCTTTCAATATAATAGAAACTGAATTTAAAATGAAGGAATATATTAATTTCTAGTTGATGTCCTTCCACCAAAGTGAAGCTGTTACTTAAGAGTAAAGGGGAAAAAAATCCCAACTTTATGAGTTCTGGTATTTCTACTTTTTTTAAATGACTGAATTTAAACAGCATCTTTTGACTTTTTGCTAAGAAAGATGGGAAAATTGGTAACATTTCTTTCTAACTAACTTTCCCTCCTCTTGTTTTACTGCCTTTTTAAAATTGAGGTTATTGCCCTTTATTTCTGATTGTTCGTTATAATTATGAATGCTACCTTATCTTGTCTTATTTTTCTCAGAAATAGGGAAACTTGGCTTTACTGGTGCCCTGCGTTCCCATGAAGGTTGAAGCCACCTGGTCTCTCACTAGTTCTTGTTTTGCTCTTTGGTCACATAGCCATGGGCTGATTTTTGTAAGCTCGCAGTCCAGTAAATTCATTGATTTGTGTCTGGTTTTTATCATTCTGTATTGGTTTCCTTGGCTTCTGTCTTTAAAGTCTGAGAAATAGAGTCTGTGTTGATGTCTTCAGATTTTAAAATTATAATGAAAGTATATTATTTATTCGTTTTGTTCTCTTCTTTAGTAACCATGAAAATATATGTTTGTCCTTGGTTTTCCATATTTATGATCTTCAGCTTTACATTTTTCCTCCTTACTTTGCTTTTCCATTAAACATTTTTTCTTTGTTTGCAGTCAAATTCTTTGTTATTTCTTTACTTCCTGAAGTGACTTTTCATCTCTGTAGGATTTTATAGCTCTGTCAGCTTATTTTAATCTCTTCCAGTTATCTTGTCCTGTACCATTTGAACACTTGCACTTCTTCCTTGAACTTTTTTTTATTTTTTAAAAAAGACCTTTTTGTTTGTTATTCTTTTTTGAGTCCATGAAATGTGTTGTCTCAATTCTTCCTCTGATTCCTTGGGTAATTTCTCCTGTGATGTTTTTTCTTTTCTTTTTTTTTTTAAGATTTTATTTATTTATTTTTAGAGAGGGAAGGGAGGGAGAAAGAGAGAGAGAAACAATGTGCGGTTGCTGGGGGTCATGGCCTGCAACCCAGGCATGTGCCCTGACTGGGAATCGAACCTGCAACACCTTGGTTCGCAGCCCACACTCAATCCACTGAGCTACGCCAGCCAGGGCGTGATGTTTTTTCTTCACTGGACTTCTGCTTTTGGTATTTGCTGCTTTTCTGCACAGTCTCCTTGTGGCCTCTCTCTGATTGTTACTTGTCTTTAAATGGGGCCAGTAGTTTCTCATACTGCAGGTAATGCTGTGGGCGGGGGCATGGACAGTTAGGCTACGAGCTAGATGATTCCAAATCTTTGATTTGAGCTTATTTCAAATGCTCTCTAAATAAAGGCATTTTCCCTCCGTTTCCATTGTACAGCAAGGCTCCTGAGGCAAAGGCTTCGCCTGCCTTCCTTCTGCCACTTCAGCAGACCCCCTCGGTGATGGAGCTAGCGCGTAAGATGTTCTGTGTTTGCTCTTTCATACC